TGTGATACGGAATTTTAAAAAACGTATACAAAACTTATTTATAATAATGAAAAAATGTATGCAAATTTTTTATAGGGCAGACATTTATGTGTATTATGAAAATTTTTTATTATAGATGTAATATGCATGTGATTTTTTCTTATATTACTAGCAGATCTTCCAGATATAACACATTATTGATATATAAATTTAGTAAAATAAAAGCTTTTAATGATAATATTACTATAAGTGAAATTTTTGCATGTAAACTTTTTTTTACATAAATCTATATCTAATAAAATGTTCTATTCTGACTTTAAACATATTACTAATAAACTTTTAGATAGCCTAGTTAAAAAGTCTTTTGAATTACTTTAAAAATCCTATTCTATTAGAAATGATTTTGAGAAATCTGATCTGATCGAATTGAATTATATCTAAGATATAAGTTAGAAGTTTATAAGAATCTGTTAAATTGAAAATAACGTAATAAATCTAATATGAATAATAAAAAATTATTATACTTCTAAAACTGATCTGAATTATACTTGTAGCTAAAACCTTTCAAGAATATGTTTGAAACTGAAAGTCCAAAACTCTAATCTTAAATACTGATCGAAACTTTATGTAATCTGAAATTATTTTATAAATTTATTCCTTTTCTACTACAAATTTCTATATAAATATTATCAAAGGTTATACTTATAATTTAATCAACAGTATTAGAAATACAAATTTCAAAAGTTACATCTAAAGATAATGCTTTAATTAATTATAACTGTTATAATTAATTGTGATATTATTAAAAATCAAATTGTAATAGATGACAAATAGCTAATATTAAGCCTAAAACTAAGCATTTATTTAAATATAATTATATACTGCATTATATTGGTAGATCCTAAAATATTCAAAAAATATTAGCAAAAAATAATCCGATTTCATATTATAGCTTCTGAAACTCAAAAGTTTTTCTAGATAAAGAAGTACTAATAGAAAAGCAGTTGATGTAGCATTATCATTAACTTCAGAAAGATTATCTAATAATTATAAAGTTTAAATTAATCAATAATTCCTGTTTAGAAAAATTTAAAGAATCAGATAATAATAAAGAATTAGATAAAAATAAAGAACTAGATAAACAGTTTTAGAAGATAACTATGTTTATAAGTTTGATAAAAATATGTTTAGTGAAGATGATATTTTAATTAAGTAATTTTAATACTCCTGATTCTGATAAATCAGATTATAAGTATCCTAATATAAATTTTAATTTTAATGATGATTTTAATTTTAACATTCATAAATGTTATTATAGATATTTAAATTTCATTTCTCCTTTCAGATATCATTAATAATAAACTTATTAAGTTTGTTAAAAATGATTTTATTAGATGCTAATAAAACTATAAGTAAATATAATATATGTAGTGTGTATGCAAACTGTTTGACTTTTAGATGATCTATATTATATCACAATTTGATTGGCTTATTTTTTCAATCATATGTTAAAGTTATAATGTGTTTTTTCATATTTTATGAATTATTTATTACATTACGATTATTGTGTCTCGATATTCTACTTGTTTAAGAATTATTTTACTTTGTAATAAAAATGAATGATCAGAAATTCAACTTCTTACTTGATTATCTAGAACCTATTTCACTAAACTTTTTTATAAAGTTTAAATTTTGTAGCAAGAAATCTATCAACCAAGATTATAAAAAATGATTGAAACAAGCAATTTAACATGATCCTAATTTGAAGAAACTGCTAAATTTAAAAGAAAGGTTAGATATAGATGGTTATAAAAATGATTGAATATATTATAATGTTTTTTATTATAAGAAGGGGTAAATTGACTGTATACAGAGTTGTGATTTTTAATTTGTATAAGTTTATCTTGCTTTTCAAGTAACTGGTTATATAAACTGATTTTTCTGATCCTGACTATACTTATACTAATAAAAATTGAAATTTTAGAGCAAAGTAAAGAAAAAAAAGCGTCAAGTCTATATCAAATTTCATTTTCAGTTAGATAACAATCTTAACAGTAAAAACTTCTTACTTATATCAAGATATATTCAAATTATAATTAACTATTAGTTCTCTCTAATACTTATGTAGATAGTTATTATAAAAGGTTATATCATGAAAATAAATCTGAATAGGATAGTGAAATTAATAATAACTTATCTCAAGAGGTAACTATATTTATGTTGCATGGTTTAAAATTACAATGTAATCCTTTTCTAATTATTTTTTTAGGAGACACAAACATCCTACTCAACGATCTATAAATGAACTAACGAATAAGCCAATAATTGTAATATCCAGTATATTTTTGCTTTTCTAACTTAAAAAGTATTGTGAAATATTAAAGCATTTAAAGAACCATTATCTTGAAGAAGAATCTTAGCATAGTAGATACCTTTTAAATTACTGTCTTAGTCAATTGTGAACAATAAATTATTTCTGATACAGAATCCTATATGCTATCCAAACCTATAGAAACTTATTGCAAATTTTGATATTATAATTGCAGTTTAAAAGAAACTTAACATCAAAAACTGCAAGATGCTATTTCAGTATTAAATAAAATCATAAGAGAAGGTAAATAGGAATAGTATAGTTAGGTATTATAGAATGATATAACATTAGTTGAGTTTAAAGTCTGTTAATTTTATTATTGATGCACAAACAGCTTTATCTGCATTGACATCAGTCTTACTATTTGTACCTTTACCAGTTCGTCCTGATGCAAATCCCTTTAAAAATCATTATAAATCTAAGTTATAGATAAAAATATTATCAGATGCATTTTCTCTTAATGTTGATCCTTTTGAGCCTACATAGGAACTTCATCATCAATTTTCTACTAATGGTAAAAAGGGATCGGCCAGATCAGATTTTTTATGCGTTACTATTTCTCTTATCACAAAGGAGCAGTACCCTTTTTTTATCTTAAAGTTTGTAGTTGGTGGTGTGTAGGTTCACAAAAATTATGCTGTTGTTATTGCTAAAGTGTTTCATATCTTAAACTAAATATTTTTGACGTATATATTTTTAGAATCAAAAATATTCTTGATCAAAATGCATGTTGCTTTAGTAAATAATGCTTATATATGTTTTGGAATATTAAGATTTCTCTACAGCTAAGAATATAATACCACATTACATATTTATGATCAAGATGTCAAGAGCTTTGACTTGCAATTATATTGCATTAAAACTAATATTAAAAACGTATTTAAATTAATAGTTTACCTGAGATAAGTTATTTATAAGAATGGCTTATATCTGAGAAATTTTCTTGGTGAAAGGATTTCTATAAAAATGAAAATTTAATTTTAGATTGCTGAGGCTTCCATCAGAGGCAGAAAAATTTAGATTATCAAAGGTTAATTTCACTCCAAAAGCAAAAAGAGTTAAATATGAGATATATAGTACTTAGAATGAAGAAGATGATTCAAGTAATTTTTCAGAAAGTGCTTCAAGAAATATAAATTAACAATTTATCAATAAAATTGATTAGTATTTAACTAGTTCTTCGTCAATGAAGATTAGTAATTTATTGAATTAATTTATTTTTTTCTCCAAACTATTAGAGTAAATCATATGCTTTTTATCTTTATATAGCATATTTTAATGCATTTTAATAAACTAATATATTTTTGACATGTATACATTTTTTTATTTTATTTTTCATGTTAATATGAAGATGAAATGTATGATATCAAAGAGGGAAGGAATATCAAATCTTAAGTCATTTAATGCGAGTCTCAGCATCAATTTATTTCTTTGCTCTCAAAATAATTTCTACAGATAATTTATTTTTACATCTATTATTAATCTCCCACATACTCTTTTATTATCGATATAAATTATTCTACTCATTAGTGTATCTAGGAGTCCGCAAAATCTGCAGAATCTATTGGAGATATAATTTATTAATTATTGTTGTATTAATTTTTTTTAACATTGCACAATTGTTTAAAAAAAAATTAACTGCTCAATGAATAGAAATAATAACGGTATTTAACAATAATTAATATTTTGCAAATACTAATAAATATATTAAACAGAAACAAAAAATTTAATTTAAATAAATAAAAAAAATGGTTATTGCAATAATAGAATGCAAGATTCATATTTAACATTGGAATATAGCCAAGAGTTTCAAGTTGAAGGAATCTTATTAATATATAGTACTTGTCTAATAATTTTAGATCATAAAAAAAAATCTACATTCTATGATCATCTTTCATCATTAATACATTAAAGACAAAAAAATTAGCATAAATTACTCTTTACAATCAAATTCAATACCTTTTTACATTTATCTAAAAGTGAGCAATTAAATTTAAATCTTGTTTAAACATTAACTTCTACAGATATTTCTCTTGAAAAATCAGATAAATTAAAGGAATTAATTCTAAAATTATAAATATGATACATAATATAAATTTTTATTTTTTATTACTTTCTTTAAATATACTATTTATATATATAAAAATTAAAATATTTTAGGTAATATTATTGCTGGTACTAATCAACTTTGAGAGAAATATCTGCTAATATTATATGATTCTAAAAAATGATGTTAGTAGAACAATAAATTTCTGTTATAATTGATCAAATAACTGATATTTATGGTAAAGCAGCCATTAACATCCTCTTTAGTTTTTAAAATTAGTTATAATAAAATATCTTATAAAAGTTGATAATACAACTATTTCACAGTTTATTATTTCTTAGAATATAGAGCTTTATAAGCAAATTTACCTGCTTATTTACTATAAGTTTAGAGATCAAAGTAGAGGAAGAAGAAATAGTAGAGAAAGAAGTAAAGAAAAAAGTAGTAGTAGTTCAAGTAGATCAAGAAGTAAAAGAAGAAGTAGATCAAGAAGAAGCAGATTTAGAAGAAATAGATCTAAAAGTAGATCAAAAAGAAGAAATAAGAAGAATAGAAAAGATAAGAGGAGGGATAAGAGGAAAGATAGAAGAAGAAATTAAGATATTAATTTTAATTTTTTTTTAATTTTATTTTTAATTTTAATTTTACAATCTTTTTTTATTTTTTGATTTTTTTTGTTTTAATTGATTTAATTTTTTTTTTTATATTTTTTTTGTATTTTTAATTTTTTTTTTGTATTTGTATTTTTATATTATATTTTTTTAAAATAAGTTATTATGTATTATATATTGTTTAATTGAAAAACTAATATTTATTTTATAATACTACTTAATAAACTTGACTCTATAATCAATTTTAATCTATTTTTGATATATAAAATTTTCTAATATATGCAAATAATTTATCAAAAGTGTAGATTTAAATATGTAAAAAGAAAATATTCAATAACTAATACTTTAACTAACATGATATAACATCCTTTTTTTGAATATAAAAATCTGATGTAAATTATCAAATTACATAAGTTTTAAATATAACAAATTAATGATTTACTCAATACTGTAATTATGGTATACTTTGCAAAGTACTTTGACCTTAGTATTACATAAACATTATAAATTATAAACTTTGTGCTAAACTTTAATTGTAATATTTTGTAAACTTTATAGATTGTAAAATCTGTGATATTTGATCAAAAAATGTGCGTATAATTTTTACATGAATATACATTATTGGTATTGATTATGTAACTCTTTATCACTAATTATATTATTATGTATAATTTATTTTGATTTTTATAAAAATAATAATTCCATATATTTCACATATTTTTATTTATTTATATTATATTATTCATATTTTTTTTTCTTTTTCTTTTCTTTCTCTCTCTTTTTTTTTAAAATAGAAATTTTTATAATTTAAATATAGAATTATTATAGAATTAGACATTAAATATAGAATTAATAGAATCTAAAAAATATTTTATTTAATTTTATCAAAACAAATTTTTAAATTTTTTGAAAATTTACATTAATAAAATGAATTTGATTTTTTTTGTATTTTTTTGTATTTATTTTTTATATTTTTTTAGTCTTTTTTAAAATAGTTATCATCATGAGATAAATGTTAAAAGAACAAGTTTTTTTTTCATTTTTTATAATGTAATGTTTCATTTCTTCTTTTAGTAAAAAACTTATTTGATTATAATCATATTTAGTTTTAAAATCTAAATTTAATTCATTATTTTTTCATTTTTTTACAAAAATAATTAAAAATAAACAGAAGAAAAGTTTTAACTTACCAAACTCAAGAATAAGCTGAATTAAGCAAAAAAATAAAAACCTTAAGCTCTAAAGAGAAGCATATCAATAGGTCATTTATAGAAAGTATATAAAAGTACTAATTTAGTATTTTTTTTAAAAATATGCATATAATTTTTTTCAAAAAATTTTTATTTATACACAGTTTTGACAACAATGTTGAAAAAGATATTAAATCAAAATGATCAAAATGTCTCAATACTAAACTTGATACATTAATATCAGGTCAAAAAAACTAGAGAAAAGAATTATAAAATTGAAAAAGGATTGTACAAAACATATAAGCATTGATAAAATTTTTGAAAAAGTAAGAATTATTTTATATTATTCTAGTTTATGATTGTACATAAAATACTAATATATGGGTTGATTGCTAGGAAAATCAGGTTCTGGGAATTTTTTAGTGAAATTAAGATTTTTATTGCATTTTAGTTTTTGATATTATTAGATTAAAATGTATTAAGCTCTTAATTTTAGTCAAAAATTTCTTGAAACCTGATTTTCCTAGAAACACTCCTATATATTATATATTAAATATAAATTATATTTTATTTTAAATTATTTTATTATAGAATCTGATTAAAAAGAGACATTAACTAGATTAATATACCTAATACAAGAAGAATTACAAGAAATTATGAAAGAATATCTATCAGCAAATTACTCTAAATTTTTTGGTAAATTTACCCAAAAGTGTTGGATGTCTTTTATAAAAAAAATATTAACATGCTATAAGTTTGCTCATTAAATATAAATATGATAAGATTTATATAGTGTTGGAAGTCTTAACTCAACAATGTTTCAAAATTTTTTGCGGATTTTATATCACGTGATTAGTAATTAACTAATGAAAAATGAGATATTAATTTTTTTTTTTGTGTATCATTTTAAAATTATAATAATTCAGGCTGATATTATTATTAATTACTATAATGTCAGCTCAAATTATCATAAATTTCAATTAATAATATATGTTTCAAATTCAGAAAGATCATATAAAAATTATTTAAATTTAAATACTTATAACTTTTTATATAAAACTTATTTTAAAAAACTGATTAGTAATTTAATAAAGCTTATCTCAAAGAATAAATTTATCAGTTTATTTTTTCTAAATTTATTTTTTTAAAGAGTTGAAAGATTTTTAAATGTTACATTTATATTATTAAGTATAGACTTCCTATATCATATATAATTTTAATGTTTTCAATACTTATTAACAGCTATTAAAACAACATCAGAGTCTCTGTGATATCTTAATATCATGAATTAGGAATGCAATATTTGCAGTATTCAGCAAAGCCTAGCTATTATAAATAAATATTAATGCAAGTCTAGCAGAGATTCAAAGATAAAAAAAATCTAAAAAATTAAAAGAATGCTAGGTTAAATTATTTGCTTCAATAAAGGAAGATGAATAAACTACCCACCTAACTCGTATTTTAGATAAAGTTTAGGAATTTAAGAAATAAACATCACTTCAAAAAACTTATATTACTGCTATATGTAAAATCCTTCTAAATTCTAAAATAGAAAATATACAGATTTCTGAAAATGTTATTAAATTGCATATGAATAAAATTTTGGTAAGTTTTTTAAACTCATAAATATGCTAAATAATTTAATTAAAAGATTTTAGAATTTGTAAATAAGCTAAATATTTTAATTATAAATTTTTTGTTTAGACAAAACTTAATAATGATGATGATACTTGAAGTGATATCTTAACTAACTCAACTACTATCTCAAATATCTTCAATACCTCTGATCATATCATTGACAAAAATGATATTCATAAATGTAATAATAATAAATCTAATTTAGATAACAATGAATATAATGACAAAAATAATAACGAAAAATTAATTCAATAATATAAGCCATATTTATATAATATAATTAATATTTTATTTAATATTATATAGGTTATGTATTACTGACTTATTTTTACCAAAATCTTTCTTCAACATTTTCAAAATATATAATAGTTTTCTTTTTTTCAGTTTTTTTTTGACTATAATAGAACTAACAGAAGGAAATAATCTTTTTCATAATGTAATTAAATATAATAACAAAATCAAAGATTAATTCAATATAAGTGATCATGCAAACAGCTTAGTCACATCAAAAAATTTTTAAGAATTTCAAAATGTAAAAAAATTTTTTTAAACATATAACTATTAAAAAAATATGTTATTATATAATCTTTGATATGGT